GCAGTCTATACCGCAAGGACGTTCTGAATTTACTCAGTGGGCTCAGGATGACCTGTCTGTGCTTCTTAGCCTGGGCGGCTATATCAAAACACCACAGAGAGGGCTTAAACAACACACATTTATTTTTCACAGATCTGGAAGCAGGACACTCAGAGCAAAGTGCAGTGGGTTTGGTTTCTGGTAAGGCCTGTTCTGGGCTGGCAGACAGCTCCCGTCTGGCTATGTCCTCACATAGGAAAGAACATGTGCTCTGTTGTCTCTCTGGACAGGGGCCCTAACCATACCAGACCAGGACCCACACCTCATCACCTCATGTAAACGGAGTCACCTCCCATTGGCGGTTAGGGCTTCTACATGGGAATTTGGGAGATGCACACATTCAATTCCATAGCACTTCCAACCTCTTAACTCGCACTTGGTTCATGCGTCTGGGGTTGGCTGGGCTCAGCAGGGTGGTTCTTGTTGGGGTCTTCCATACAGTGGCCATCAGATAGTGACTGTGGCCAGATCACCTCAAAGGCCCTTTCATTTCATACCTGGCATCTGACAGGAAAGACCTACACCTGGGCTCCTTGGGCCTCTCTCCCTCTAAATGGCCTCTCCATGTGTTGGCCTCAGGTCACCAAACCTCTTACACTGCCACTGAATGCTACCAGGACAAACACCCAGAAAGAAACCTGCAGAAGGTGTATCATTGTTTGAAAGCAGGATAGAGGTTCTGACCAGAACCCCCACACTGGCACATCCCGATTTCAGACAACCAGCCTCTAGGACTCTGAGCAATAAATGTCTGTTGTTTATAAGCCACTAGTCTGTGGTATCATAATAATAAAAGGCCAAGAGGCATCACGACTGAAATGACCAAACAACTGGTCACCATGAGGTGCATGGAGCACCTCTTGCCCCCCGCCCCCCCATCCCCCACTCAGGCGCTGGCAGCGTCTGTGGAGTGTGCGAGGCATTGCAGGGCGGTGGACATGGCCCTGATGGCAGGCTAGGCCTAGGGGAACCTACACACGCATGTTTTAATCGTGCGCTGGGCCTCTAGTTGGTTATAATAGCCTGGATGGACTAAGACAGGGTTCTCCAGAGAAACAACCAACAGGATGTATTTTAAGCAATTGGCTCACGTGGTTTTGGGAAGCAGGTAACTGCAGCTTGGAGCCTCTTTCTCAGCCATGTCCTCATCGTGGGGCACAGAGGGCGGTGTTTCTCCTCCTTCCTTCACAGCTAGGGGCAGCATCTGGCAAGAAGGTGAACTCCCTGGTGAATATGGGAGAGTTGCTTAAAAGGATAAGAGGGACCAGGGACATCATTGGTTTATCCTCTAGCTCTTTTCTGTCTGATTGCCTGGAATGTTGGCTCCACCACCATTTTGTGCCATGAGGTTGCCAGGAGACTGGAAACCAAGCACCAAGAATTGGCAGTGATGGAGAGGACAGAGGCTGGGAAACCCCAACACTGAGCGCCTGCTGATGTCTTTCCTTGGTGTAAGTGGGCAACACACTGCATATTTTGCTTAAACCGCTATTTCCAGCCCCACCTCTTGCATTAGACACAATATGAGGCATGTCATCAGGTGATCAGGCAGGGCTATCTTCATGCATGAATCCACATATAAAGCATGTATTTTGCACAGAACATGATACAAAATTAAGTTTAATAACTATTGCAGTGAATGGATAAATAAATGAAGAATCAGAGTATGACTGACTTGCCAGAGAAGACTCCTTTACCCTAGACCAGGGGTGGGCAAACTTTTTGACTCGAGGGCCACAATGGGTTCTTAAACTGAACCGGAGGGCCGGAACAAAAGCATGGATGGAGTGTTTGTGTGAACTAATATAAATTCAAAGTAAACATCATTACATAAAAGGGTACGGTCTTTTTTTTTTTTTTTTTTTTTTTTAGTTTTATTCATTTCAAACGGGCCACGGGCCGTAGTTTGCCCACGGCTGCCCTAGACCCAACAATGTGTTAGATAATTAAACTGATAGAAGTTGTAAGTGAAAAACTATGGCTTCACTTTAGAATAGATGATTACATGTTAATAGCACCAAAAGAACAATTATACCTTTAAACAGAAATCTGAGGAGAAAGCCTCACTCTGAGGATGAAGTGCTGGAATTTCTGCACAGCAATTCATGTTGTTTCGTATAATGGCATCACTATGTAAGGAAAAAACACGCTTCACTTTCTGAGGAAAAGACAATGAATCTTTCATGGTGTGGTCAGAGGAGGAAATCTGTCTGTACCCCAAACGTGGGAGCTGCTTGGCTGGGCCCCTGAGGCTCGCAAGGACTAGCTTCCTGACAGCTTTGTTCTGCATATCGACACAGCCAAAGTCAATTTCTCATGCAATGCAAAACAGCTCTCTTTGTTCTGTAAATTACTCATTTTTTTTCCATGCTTTTCAAACAGAAAAATGACAAGTAGGAACTTGGAGAAAAAAAACAACTGGCCTCTAATTGGGAATTTCAACCACTAATTACAAAATAGAACAAAATGCTTTATAAATCCAAAAAGGAAAAATAAAAAATTCATATAGATGCAGAAAAATGCCCCAAGTAAGAAGTGATGCCCACAATATCGAATACCAGCTTGTTGAAGAAGTCAGGGCAGAGTGGCCTGGGAAAAGAGGATGCCCAGTGGTTGCTGGCATGAGACATTGCCCAGATGTGTTCCAGGTTTAGGCTAGTTGTACAAATGGGGACAGGAATGGAGTCACAGGACATGACTGAATGGGTATTTTGGGAGCTGATGATCCTGTCTGCTTCTTGGGAGAGAAACTGGATCTGTGGTTCAGGAGGAAGACTTCCACTGCATTTTCAACAAAATGAATACATTATTAACAAAAATTTAAATTGATATTATTTTCAAAAATATTCTGTACCACTTGTAGTGGGTTGAATAGTGCCCCCTCCCCCAAATTTACATCTCATAATATGACCTTATTTAGAAGTAGGGCCTTTGCCGATGTTATTAAGGATCTTGAGATGAGATGGCCCTGGGCTGGGGAGAGAATACCTTTCTGTTGCTATAAGCCACAGGTCTGATCATTTGTTGCAGCAGCCACAGGAAAATAATACACCACTTTTTTTTTTCTTTCCTAAATGATCTTGGTCTCTAGTAAAGAAGTCCACTTGAAATACAATTGATAAAATGAGTTAATTTCTTCCTTGCTTTCCATCTTAAGTTTGTACCCAACTAAGTAAATATTTTAAATTTCTCATGCCATTGGGTCTTGTTGCAACCACTCACCTACCACCTGGCTGCTGTGGAGGCACAATCTATACATATAAAAGCCTAAGTGACTATTTGGCCCTTCGACCAGTAGCTATGACACGCACTGACCACTAGGGGGCAGATGCTCCAACCAGTAAGTTAGCTTGCTGCTGGGGTCCAGCTGATGGACCAATCGGGGACTGGGCAAGATGGGCTGGACATGCCTGGAGCCCTCCTGCAGTCCCCCATGCACCGGTGAGGTCCCTCGGACTAGCCTGCGCCCTCTTGCAATCCAGGACCCCTCGGGGGATGTCAGAGAGCTGATTTTAGCCCACTCCCCGCAGGCCAGGCCAAGGGACCCCACTGGTGCATGAATCTGTGCCCCGAGCCTCTAGTACATTAATAAATGAGATGGTCATTTTCCAAAAAGACTTTAAAAAAATGGGTGAAGACTGGATTTGGCCTACAGAATGTAATTTTCTGCCTCCTGACCTAAACAATTCTTTTTTATTGAGCTGGAATTGTGGGGTTATAAATGCTGGTCCATCCATTATTGGGAAATAGATAAGTTGTAAGAAGGCTTGGTTGGCACACATGCTATGACCTTAGATCAAACAGAGATTCGTAATCCCAGGAGAGAGCGATTTAGAAATTTATCAATGCTGTGAGAACTCCAGGTTGCTAGCAATAATCACAGGTTAGTGTGGATATGGGCCACATTGCTTCACTACACCCAGACTGCCTGTCCCCCAATATATTCATTTATGTGAACATATATACCAGCACTGTGTGTCCTGCAGAGCTGGATGCTCACAAGGCAAGTATACCTCATTCACCTGTCAAGGAGAAAATAATCAAAAAGGCATGTGGTGTACCTATGTGTACGTGTGTATGTGTGTGTGCAGGTACATACATATATGAAACAGCTAAAGACCTAGACAAGTCCAGTATCCAACTTCACGATCCATGCTCTAGTGCCAGAGGCATTTGGGTCTGTTGGACGGGATGACAACCACTTCAGAACAAAGTTGTGGGCTTGGTCTTGCAGGATGAGCTGGTTCAGAATAGCTAGAGAGGGTAAGAGGCTGCCTGCTTACAAGGTGTGATCATTTCAGTTTACATTCCCTTGCAGAGTGCCTACTGCACACCAGACCCTGTGGCAGAGTAAGAGCAAGAGTGTGACTGAGAAATAGGTCCTCAGAACCCTGCAGGGAGGCTTCAATAGAAGCTTCTTGTCCAAGGCCCAACTCTGAGTAACAAGCAGAGCCAAGGCCCTGACCAGGACGTGCGGCTGCCTGCTTTCTGCTCCGGGGTCAGCAGTAGGCACAGCACCCACCTGCCATGCTGCTGTTCTTCACACTACAGGAGAGGCCTCTTGCTCGCACACAGTGGGGATGTAGTACGTACATACATGCACACAGTACACATGCACATACATCTCAGACCAAAATCCCTTCATATATATAAACAATTAATTACCCTTCACTTAAGGACTCTTATCAAGGCCTTTCCTCCTCATCCTGAAGACGGGATTGCAGCAGTATGGCAGACTGCAGACCCAGGGCCAATCTGAGACTGAATCTAGTTCTTTCTAAAGAACTTGCATTCTGATGTTGGGCGATAAACTGGCCTTTCCTGGGCTCGGTCTTCTGTCATCCTGCTAGCTTGCAAGGAAGATAAAAGGATTCGCTTCCCAGCTGGGGCTCTGACTGGACTAGATGTGGATAAAGAGTGAGATGCCTGGAAAGTAGTCAACAAAACCGGCAGGTCAACAATCTCAGAAAACAGAACGTTTACATTTTATTTTTCTTCGATAAGGTCACCCAAGGAAATGGCACAATCCTGCATGTTATTTTTATATCTGTCTCTGCTTATGCCTTGGGTGCGTTTTGCAGTAGATGTACCATCGCCCGCGCCTCTTCACCCGGTAACAGTCCCGGCAACGCTTCTTGAGGACGGCCTTGTCCTTGAACCCCAGAGTCGGCTGCAGGAAGGGCAGGGGCTGGCAGGAGAGAGGAGAGGCCATTGCTGCGCTGGGCTCCGCACCTGCAGGGCCTGCAACACGCAGGGGACCCAGCAGGAGCGTGGAGAGCGCGCGGGGTGTCGTTGTGTAATTTGTCATTGTGTAACGACTCAGATGTAGGAGAGGGTTCACAGCAGAAACCACCATTTTCCTTATAAAAAGAGTTGCCATATTGTGGCTGAATCTACGCGAGAAAGAAAAAAAAGTTGTTACAGCGTCTTCCGCACTTCCTACTATTATATCTTTGTTTTCCCCACTTCACTGTGGCGTAGGCGTGGAGGGGTCAGGGGCGCCACCACCCCCTGGTGCAGCGCAAACCCTGCCAGCTCCGCGGAGACCCGGGCGCGGAGGGGGTGGGGGGTGGGGGGAAGCATTTGGCGAGACCGCCCTTTGTGGGAGCCCAGGCATGGCTGCGAGGATCCTAAGCTTCCGACCCCGTTCAGGTTTAGTGATAGGCAGCACGGGGAAGAGCTGGCCTGGTGTTCGGGACAGGGGGCACCCGGCACCCGGGCAGGCGCCCGACCGACGGACAGCAAGGAACCCGGCGGGCGGGCCGCTTCGCGGGAGCGGACTGCGCGGGGTCTCCCAGCGGAGGCGCACTAGCTGGCGCCCGGGCCTCGACCCAACACCGGCAGGGGACGCTCGGGGCCCGCCCACCGCCCACCAGGTTCGGGACCCGGCCCCAAGCTGCCCCCGCACCCTCTGACCGCGGCCCACAGGGGGAAACTGAGGCCGCGTCTCTAGGTCTAGTCCTTCCGCAGCCCCGACCCGGCAGGCGTCTCCGGGGCAGATCCGAGCCCCAGCAACCCGCCGCCTCCCTAGCCCCGAGCCCCTCTGCATTCCCGGGGACCCCTGACCTGGGAAGAAGCGGCCCAGACCCGGCCAGCAGCGTGCCTTGCCCCGCGCCTGCGTCCCCGCCCGCGCTTGTGCAGTGGAGCGGAGACGCCACCGCCGTGAGTCTGCGCCAGAAAAAAAACCAAAACGCCGGCGGGCCCTGCGGGCCTATGCGCATGCGTCAGCGCTGGTGCGTCGACGCGCCGGGTCAAGGGTCAGCCCGCAAGATGGCGGCGGCAGTGACCTTCTGTAGGCACCTCGGCTGGAGCGGCGCCGCGGCGCTTAGTCTGCCCCGGGCCGTCAGGTGTTTCGGGGTGCGCATCGCGCCGACCGGAGAGAAGGTCACGCACACCGGCCAGGTAACCGGTGCGTCGAGGATCCCCGGTCCTTCCGCCGTCCTCAGTGCCCTAGGTCCTCCGTGTCCCCCGGTTCCTGGTCCCTGAGAGGGACCGCGGAGAACAGGCGGCCGAGTGCCGTGCGGGTCCCCCGGGTCCCCCGTGTGACCGAAGCACGGTCGAGCTGTGCTTCTGTCGCCCGCACCGAGCGGCGTGGATGAAAACGGGTGCCGCGGTGCTGGGGGTGGCGGAGCGTTTGAAATTCTGTGGGAGTGTCCTTGAACTCCGAAATGAAGCGATGCCGGTGTAGCTGTTGTGGGGCGGCTGCCCGGTGGACTCCAGGCGACCGATTGCTTCTGTGGCTCGAGCCTCGTCATGTTTGTGTGATATTAAATAGTGCATTTAAGTAACTTGAGCGTCCGCTGTAGCCCAAAACACAAACCCAGCCTTAGACGACAATCATACGACGAGAGCGCGAGTGCCCGTGTTATTAAAGTGTTACCAGCAGGTGAGCGGGGACGTGCGCCTCTGCCTGAACCTGCCGCCTCTGCCCTCGCTCCCCCCGCGGCCTCCCAGCCCACATTCTGCTCATTGTCACCTTGGGGTCTCGCGGGGAAGTGTCCCTGGTTGCGCAGCTGTACCGGGCCCCGCATGTGTCTGATCGTGAATGGTGTAAATGCTGAGAAAAACACTTTTCTGTAATGTTTACGATGGAGATTAACTGACCTCTTTCAGAATTAGGCTGTAAAAATCACATATGGTCTTTCCCCCCCCCCCAGGTTTATGATGATAAAGACTACAGGAAAATTCGATTTGTAGGTCGTCAGAAAGAGGTAAGTAAAAAAAAAAAAATCTACTAAAAGAGAGGTAAGCTCTCATAAAACCTTTATGTAACCGACAAAATATAAAAATTAATATGTATGATTTAAACAGTTTCCCCCCAGATTGTGACCTCCTAGAAGCTCTGGAATTCTGCATTTTTCTAAATGTTAAGTGTGTCTGTTTCTGTTTTGTTTCCCTCCCCCCCTCCCCCACACATACCCACAGTATGTAACAACATTTAGTAAGTGTAGTTCTTTTTTATATATAAATGGGAGTGGTCTTTTCCTTTATTTCTGGGCCTTATACTCCTGACACCCTCAGATTAAAGTAAGTTTTGTCCTCCGTAATCACTTGGAGTCAGTCACTCGTCCCCTCCGTCAGCCTGTTGATTCCCCGTGTTAAGCCTCAGCTTTCCCTAAGTTGTGTTTCTCCTTCCCTTTGGTCTTGGTTGCATTGTCCATTCCCAGAGTCTGCTCTTCTCCTTCCATCCTGCTTTGTGGGTGTCACAAGGGTAGGGGCAGTGTGCTGGAGATGGAGTTCAGAGCAGATCAGTCCCGGAGTGGACCCTGCAGCCTGGCCCCCACCTTCCCGTCGCGTGCCTCCTGATGCTTTCGCAGGCACCTGGGCCTGCCACGGACTTTCTCTGCTGGGATTTCTCTTGTGGCCCTGGGTTCTGATTGCCATAGCAGAGGGCAACAGGGAGCAATTTAAAAACAAAGCCAAACAAGCAGAATCAGAGCTTTTGCAGGCAATAAGGTGCTGCCAGTGTTGCCTAATCCTTCACCGCTCTCCCAGCTCGAGGTCTGTGGGCCTTTTCCTGCTTGGGATCATCCTCAGGTTGTGAAGGTGCACAGCACACCTGTGACAGAGGAGTCGGCATTCTGCTGTGGCTTTTGCTCTTACGACAGAAATTTGGTGTTTAGTAATATTTTAACATTGTTTTGGTTTCCAAGAGACATTATTGTTTTAGAAGACTGTAGGTACTAGTATCCTGGGAAATTGCACAGAAAGTACAGAGTTTCCTTATGCCCCGTCTTCCCCTCACACAGTTCCCTTGTGCTATATTTTTTACATTTTGACTGATTTAAATACTGGGTGAGTATTGATATATTAGTATCAACTCAAGACCATAGTTTACATTAGGGCTTACTCTTTGCTGTACATTCTGTGGGTCTTGACAAATGCATAATCTCTTGTATCCACCAATACAGTAAGATACAGAGTAGTTTTATTGCCCAGAAAGCTTTCTGTGTTCCACCTCCTTATCCCTGCTTTTGAGCATTTTCTCCGAACTTACTTAGTTTAAAAATTAATTTGGATGAAAACTACAGTTTTTACTGTGTATATGCGTGTGTGCACACCTATGTTTAGCTAATTATAATTACTTGTATTAGTGTTAAAAATACCTGATATTCTAAATAATTGAACTGGGGCTTTTAGCTTATTTTAAACTTGTAAGTTTCCATTAATTAGGTCAAAATTTTACAAAACATTGATTATTCAACTGAGTTATTATTTCCTCTTTGTTCTAGTTTTGATATTATTTTGCAGACTTACATGTATATTTTATCTTTAATGGATTTAAGCTCGGTTTGACGTAAGGGAGTAAACTTTCCATAGGAACTGTCACTCCCAAAAACATGGGTTTAAAAAAAATAGAACAGCTTACTGACAAATGAATGATTTAAACCTAAATATTTTTAGGCCCAGATGAATTGATCAAGAGGTCACTATAAAGATAGGTTCATTTTGTGTGTGTGTGTGTGTGTGTGTGTGTGTGTGAGACCTCTTAGTGACCTAGAGGACTAATTTTTACAGTGGTTGGGCAACTTAAGGTCTGTGACACACCATGTACTTGGGAAAACACTACATTTACAGCCAAGGGTGTGGGATGCTGTGACATGTTTTCTGTACTGATCTCCTCATGAGGCCCAGTAATTCTTTCTTTCCTTGTCCCTTCCCGGGGCAGGGCGACACGCTGCAGCCCTGAATTTTAACAAAATCGAAGCTGGGCCGTGGTTGGGGGCTGTGACTGGGCGTTGACTCCTCGGCTCTTTGTTTTCTGCGGTTGAGCTGAGTCCCAGGATGTTAATCATGGGAGGTCAGGGTCGCCCTGGAGCTGCAGTCCTGAATGACAGGGGCAGTCCCGTGTCAGTCTCAGACGTCAGGCATCAGTGGCCCTTCCCACAGGAGACAGCCTGTTTCTTGGACTGCGTGATGGGAGTTTGTTAGTGTGGCCTTTGTGACACATTTGTCACTGAGGTAGACACCGTATTATTTACACCCTGAGGCTTCATTTGTATGGCGCGTGGCTTGCGCGGGCCATCACTCACCATGTAGACCGCTGTAAGGTATGGTGTGAGGGAGCCGGAGCCCTTGGCGGAGGCATTGTGCTTAAAGGAGCTTGTAAAACACCCTGGCGGCAGCCCTGCACATTGTGGTGTTTAACATCCCCATATTTCCTGGTAACTTCCTGTTGTCTTTCTGAAAATAGAATTTTAAGGAAAAGCTTTATAAAATCATACTCTATCACTGACAACGCTTTTGAAAAATAATTAAACTTTTCCAAAATGTTGTCCACATCGTGTGGGTTTAGAGCATCAGAGTTCTGGTAAGGGTGTTTGGTGTCATCCGTGTTGGTGGCAGGCGGGGCCTTCTCTGTGTGTGAGTGGTGGGAGTGGCTCTGTCGCTGGACTGTGTGTCCTCTGGACAGTCGGCTGGCTTTGGAAAAGTTAACTGAGCTTGAATGTGTTCTTGTTATTTTGAAGTTTTATTAAACTTACATCCCTTATTTGTAAGACTTTATCTACACCTAGTCTCTGTGTTCTTGTCTTCCTTAAGCAGTAGGCCTCTGGGGTAGGTGAGATTCTGGAAGCCACATGGCCCTGGGAGCCAGGACTGACCTGGCCCAGCAGTCCTCACTCATAATGATAAACAAGTATTGACATTATTCCCAAGCCCAAATCGCAGGATAACCTTGGCCAACGCTTATTAATGTGATTTTTAGCCTCGCACTGCCCCACCTTGTCTCCATTAAGCATCTCTTTCTGTAAACTTGTGATGGCCTTTGGGAGACCTGAGAGGGGAAGAATGGTGTTGCCCCTCTGACTGTCCTCTGTGTGGTGTGTTCCAGTTGAAAGATCCTCTGGCCTCCAGAGGAGGGTGACTTTCAAGGTGTGGTCTTGCGGTTGTCATCCACCCTGGGTTGGGTAAAGATGGGGAAGCGATGCTGGATTTAAGAGGCACCATCAGGCAAGCTAATCCTTGGGAGCCGAGTGTTGGGCACAGAGGGCGACTGTGATTGCTGTAGATGGCCCCAGAAAGGAGGAAGCCTGGAGAAGGCACTACTGGGTTTCTTCACAGGGTGTGCGGTGCTTGGAATAAAGCAGCCACAGCCCTTGGGCATCGGGCTGGTGACCAGGGGGCATGCGTAGTGGGGCTCTGAGGCCCACTGGGTACTGTGAGGGTCCGGGTTCCCTTCTTTCCCTTTACATGCAGACACTGATGCTTCGCTTCTGCAGTTTCCCCAGCGTCATGTGCTTTGTCTCCTGTGGTCACCGAGGACAGCTCTAATTGAGGCAGGTACAGCCAAGACATGTCTCCTGTCTAGTGCCCACTTTGCCACAGTAGGGCATTGACGGATAAATGACTTGCCTAGCCAGAATGTTGGAATTGCTGTTGTGGCTATGCAGTGAGGGGCTAGTTCAGCGATCCCCTCCTCCCTTGTGCCTGGTCACTCAGTTTCCACAGGTGCCTCAGGATATTTGCCAAGACATCACGCCTGTTCCTGCTGTGATCACAGCAGCCTGCTCCCCACCATCCGTATGGAGTCATCAGATCTGAAAGTGACTGTGCACACCTCCAGGAGGTGTTGACAATGACAGCATCATCTCACCTGAAACTACAGAGGTTCCTTTCAATTCAGTATCTAGGTGGCCTAAATATTCTCAACTGTGTCGTATTGTTAAAAATTTCACAGCTTGTTTGATTGAGAATCCAAATAAGTCCCATGCATTGTGGTTTCTTTGATCTATAGGTTCCCATGACCCCCGACAC